CTCAGATGGCCGGGGGCGGGGGGGGGGGCTGGCTGCATGAAGGACGGCGGGAGCCAGGGCCCTGATTCTCAGCTGCAGCAGCTGTGGTGCTGGGAAGAAAGAGGGAAGGAGAGGAAGCAGGGGCCGGGTGTGTATGTTGCCCACACACACAGGCACATGCGTGTACACGCATGTGCACGTGCTTCCCCAGGCTGGGGCACCCTCCCGGGAATGCCTCCCCAGATGTGCTGTGCGTGAGTCCATCCCATCAGCCCCCGGACCAGGGACACAGAGAAGAGAAAGCCCATCACGTCTAAGCGGATCCTGGACATCGGCCGGGGCCATCCCGACCAGTGAACGCAGGGGGGCCGGGCACAGGTGGTTTGGAGATGTGGGTCCCCTTCCCCTCCCGGCCGACCTGCCAGGGCTGTGAGTTTCCGGCACATATCAGCTCACGAGCTCCAACAGGGAGCCCAAGACTCTGGTGCCACCGGGGACACAGGCGGGTGGAAGGCGCGGGCGGTCATCTGTCCCCCCAGCCAGGTGCCCCCAGGCCAGCGGTAGGCCAGAATGTCCCGTGAGCATCTGTGTGCAGCCCACTGAGCTGGCCTCTGGCCGCAGCCGCCCCCTCCTCTTCTGGGCACCGGCAGGGCTCACGTTTCAGGCGGCACTGTATCTGCACCCTCCCCGCCTCGACCTTCCGTGAAGGCAGGTGGCCCCCACGCAGCCAGAGAGCGAAGCCACCTGGGAAGGGCCGCGCGTGGGGCCCGTCCGTGCCTGACCTGCACCCGGTGCTTGAAGAGCAGCTCGTCCAGGGCCTTCTGTGTCTCCCAGACCTCCCGCTTCGCCCGCTGCCGCAGAAGGGCCAACGCCTGCTTCCGCTTCTGCTGGTCAAGCTGCAGGGAGGGCCGAGCCTCGGGATTCCCGGGGCGGGGGGGGGGGGGGGGGCCCCAGACTGCTGCTCCCACAGCTCTCCAAAAGCCCTGAGCCCATGAGGGCAGGCAGTGCCATCGCGGGGAACGGGACACTTCTCGGGGGCGGGGCTCGAAAGCCCCCACTCGTGGCCGGGCCTCCCCCCAGCCCGCTGCTTGCTCCCTTTCTTGGCTGAGGCGGTTCGCGTCCCGAGCTGCCTGTCCCCTCCCTCCTTCCCGCGCAGCCTCCCCCGCGGAAGAGCCGTCGCTCACATTCTACAGCTGCCCGCTTTGGGGCCTTCGCTCAGCCTCAGGGGGACGAGGGCTGCTCCCAGCTCGCCCCAAGCAGGCCTCTAGGGGACGCAGCTGCCACCGGCCTGGCAGAATGGGGTGGGACGCACCTTCAGTGACTCGAGAAAGCCCAGGGACTTCTGGGGGATGTTGGCAAGGTGCCCGGAATGCTGACCTGTGGAAGCCACAGAGAAGGGGCAGGTAAGTGGGCGGCAGGGAGACTCCCAGCACGACAGTCCCTTCCCGCGCGTCCAGGGGGGGCAGGACAGGGCTGCCCGTGGCAGGAGGAGGCAGACAGCTCCTGCGTCTCCTCGCCGTCCCCAAGGGTTGGCTCGGCCTGACCCTCAGCCGCACTCCCCCGGGGAGCCGTGCCCAAGTCTGCAGAGATGGTGAGTCGGAGCCCAGCAGCAGACCCGGGCTCACCCCGCCTTCCCTGGCGACCTAAAACAAATCGCTAGCCCTTCAGAGCCTCGGTGGGACAAACAGAGGTTCCCACCTCCCTGCTGGAGGGGTGACCTGACACAGGCTGGCCGGATGGCAGCGGTCACCACCGTAACAATGGTCACGGCCGGGCGGGTGCCTATTAACGCAGAGGCACAGGGCCCCAGGCGTCCCTGGGGTTTCTGGGGTTGCTCCAGAGAAGGGGCGAGAAAACCGCGGCCTCCCGGCCTGGATCAGGAAGGCCACAGGGGCTCCTCTTTCCCTTTGGTGGCCCCCGAGGGTCTGGCTCGGGCCCTGCGCACAGGTTGGTGCTGCTGGCCCCCCTGAGGGGGCCCCTAGGGGCGACTCCACGGCCGGAGGGGGCCCAGTGCGCTCCCTCCTTGGCCCGCCTCCCGTCTTCCGGGCCTGCTGTTGGTGGAAAGGGGCAGAGGAGGGCGTCCTGTCTGTGGGTGGCTCTGGGAGGAGTTCCTCGGTCATCGCTGGCCAGTGTGCTTCAGCTTTCCGGGGTCGGAGCGGCAGAGGCTGTGGGCAGTGGCTGAACCAGCTCCTGGGCGTTTCCACGGCAGTGTGGGGGAAACTCGGAAGCCCCAGGAGGGGCAGTTAGGTGTGACCCGTGCTGAGCACACGGCAGCCCTCCCCCTGCCCCCGCCAGCTGGCCTCCGTGGGAAATGAAGGCCCGAATGGGAGAACGGTTCGACGTGTCTGTTCTGAGCCGAAGTTCCCTCGACGAGGAAAAACCCTCTTTTGCTTCTGTTCTGTGGCCACTGAGAGAAACTGAAGCCCGAGAAGATGCCCAGGACCCCTGAGGCCCCACCAGCCTGAGCGCCCACCGACCACCCAGGAGGCTCCAAGGCTCAGGGAGAGGTGTTCCTTGTCACCTCCGGCCACACCACGGCAGCACCCCAGACGGTCACCAGGGAGACACGGGCTGCGTGGCCCTGAGCTCCGAGCGGTGACCCAGGAGAAAGTGAGCTGTCCCCGACACGGCTGTGTAACGACCATGATTGTAGTCATCGGCATGTTCTCAGGAAGGAGGCTGGAATCTGGGAGTCACCGCCTCGAGCCAGAAGCGGACGGGACCCCCCTCCCCCCGACGCTGGGTGGAGACACAGTCGCCCCCCACCACGCGTGTTGCTGTCATTTAACTTCCGCGAAAGGGAAGTCAGCGTAACATTCTACTCCTCAGTCCCACCGGCCCCATTTCACTGGCCAGACGGCCATGCGTGGCTAATGGCTACCCTACTGGATAGCCCAGAGTGTAGGACGCTTCCCTCCACCCAGAAGCTTCTGCTGGACAACGTGGTGCTGGCTGGTGGAGTCTTGAAAGTAAGTGCTACTGGGCAGCACTGGTCTAGAGGGGTCTCAAAAGTTCCAGTGGGCAGCGCTGCCCCAGCAGAAAGAGCTGGGTTCGAATCCCCCCTCTGCCACAGATCTGGCCCAAGGCCATGGTGCCTCTTTGAGCATCAGGTCCCTCCTCCATAAGCAGAGCACGGGGACGGGCCCGGCCCCAGGCACGGTGAGACCAGCGAGACCCATGTGTGGTACACGGGGCCCGGTCCGGGGCGATCAGGGCGCTCGGTTCACTCATGCTCTCAGCAAACGCTCCCCGGGCACACGTGCCTGGCGGGCACTGGCTGGGACTGCAGTGAGTCCTCGCGGCCCGCAGAGCAAGCTACGGCAGGGTGATCGGCAGGACCTGGCCCAGCCCGCGTGCTATCCGGGAGGCTTCCTGGAGGAGGCGTCGGACAGCCGCCCGGCACAGGTGCTCACTGCTTGGTTTCAGGGTACCCAAGATCCTGCTCTCGGCCACGCCAGGCAGGAGCAGCTCGGATTTCAAATGACTCTGGGGGGCCTGCCTAGAGTCTCAGGATAAAGAGGCCCCATCACAGAATTTCAGTCCGCCCACGGACAAGTAGGTCCTGCCCCACGACGGAGAGTGTAAGGAGGGACGAGGGAGGGACAGGGAGGGACAGGGAGCCTGGGGCGGGCCTCCACTGCACCACCTGTCCTGCTCCCCCTGCCTTCTGGAGAAGCAGCCTGGAGGCAGAGCCAGGAAGAGTGGGTTTTTCCGGAAGGCCCGGCATCTGGCCTGTTTGGGTTCAGCCCGTGGGAGCTGCCAGATCCCGGGGCCGACGCCAGGCCTCAGAGGCTCCAGGAGGGACGCTCATGGAGATGGGCATGGAGCAGGGGACTGGGGACATTTCTCAAGGTGACGGCTTTGCCCCGTCTCTCTCTGGAAGGTGTGGGTGGGACCCCTGGGGTCAGCCCTGGGGACACAGCGGGCTGGCGTGGGGCGCTCTTTAACTAGGCCCAGCCCCTTGCCCGGCTGAGAGGCGCCTGCGGGGAGGGGGCAGCTGTGCAGGGAGGGCTGTCCTCGCCCCGGTGCCCAGGCTGCCCCCCGACTGTCGCTCCCGTGAATGAGTCGCTGAGAAAGCTCACACGGGGGCTGTGGGTCCACAATGCAAGTATTTTGTCCTTCCAACCGGTGACTGAAGGTTTCCCCTCTGGGATTGGAGAGGGCCCCCTTCTCTGCCCCTAGCTGTGCTCTCACGCCCCTCCCCATGGGCCACCTGCCCGACCCCCCAGATGTCGACGCCTCCCCGCACCCACCCCCCGTGGGCAGACAGCGCGGGGAGCACAAGTGTGTGGGGCGCATGCGTGCCTCGGGTCCCGGGAGGAGTCACTTGCTGCTGCTGCCCAGCAGAGGCAAAAGCACGGAGCCCCGCGGGGGCTGTCCTCAGGTTCTAGTGCTTCCCGCCTCAACTCTGAGTCCCCACATCGCCCCATGTGACGGTCGAGAGGGGCAGGGGGCACCTGAGCTGTCTCAGCTTTCCAGAGCACGCGGCCGTGCCCAGATCCTGGCAGCGGGTCCAGCGAAGGTCTCCAGGCGGCCAGGGCCCCAGGTGTGGAGGTGATGGGCGGGGGGCCTCCCCACCGTCCCCTGAAGCCACCAAAGCAGGTGCCTTCAAGTCCACACCCCAACCTCACTGCAGGGACTGGAGCACTTGCCCCTGGCGGAGCCTTTCAAGGGGGCTCCGGGACTGTGGCCCCACACTCCCAAGAGCAAGGAGCCAGTGAGTGGGGCTCAGGGGTAAAGAGAGGGCTGTCCCCTCCAGAGGGAAGGCCAGAGCCTGACCCCCTTGCAGGACCCTGGCCTGGAGGCAGCCAGCCCCATGCGACTGGGGATCACCCTTGACTCTCACAGCAGCCAGCCACCGCCCCCTGCTCAGCCAGCCTTCCAGAAGGACAGCAAAGGGATAGACGGCGCTGGTACCGGCGTTCAGGCCCTGGTCACAGCTCAATCCCGGGCACCTGGGCTGCTCGCTGCTCCCTCTGGCCTGCATTTTCTGGGGCTGCAAACACGGAGGAAATCTCTACCGGCTTCCCGGTGGATTCTCTCTCAGAACCTGCCGTGTCGTGTGCTGTCACCCGAGCACTTCCCGATGCCTGCCCCACGCTAAGGAGCAGGTGCCTGGAGGGCAAGGCCGGATCTCAGGTCAGCACCGGGCACAGCAGGTACTCAGTGGGGACAAGTTGGAAAAGCAGAGACAGGAACCAACAAATGAATTAGGGGGCTCTTGGTGCTCGGGAGACCGGGAGAAGCAGGGCCAGGGGTCAGGCCCCCCCCCCACAGCCCCCAGCACAGGCTGGAGAGTCTCCCGGACCAAGAAGCAAAGGAGGTAGGAGCGGGTCGGCCATGGCATTGGGGGGAGGCACAGACCCCTCCTCCTCTAGAGGGCCCAGGGCACGAGCCCAGCGGGCCCCCCTCGACACACCTCCCCAGCCACTGAGTCCCGGTTCCCAGCCGCTGTGCCAGGACCCTGCAGCTCACCCCCGAGCACGCCCCGAGCCAGTCCACACAGTCCGCCCACACCCCTCAGCACGGGCCCTCGGCCAGGCCGGGCTACCAGACAGGGCGCTGCCCCACGCACCCCCCGCTCTGCACCAGCTCCGTGGCCCTGAGCAAGTCTCCTCAGCTGAAACCCAGGGACAAAACCTTTCAGAAGCAAAAGAAAAGGCAGAGGCCTGGGCGGGCAGATGCTCGGACGCGGCGGCCCGGGAGCAGGGCCCTCGACGAAACACGTGGTCAGCCCTCACCCGGGCAAGTACAGGCCGCAACCGAAGCGCTGCAGGGGCACGTAGCAAGCAGCTGGGTCCCGAAAGCCTCAAAAAAACTTTAATACTGATACACGGATGCTCTCCACATAGAAAAGGCTCTCTCTACAACCGTAGGACCTCGCCGGAGCATCAGGCAGTGGAGGGGGTCCCCAGCGGACCTCCCCGGCCACCCGACCAGCCAGCCCAGGGCCTGTCCGCGGGCTCGCCCTTACCGCAGCTTCGCGTGGTCCGGGGCGTGAGCAAGCCGGCCCCTCTGGCCGACGGCATCTCCAGCCGCAGGGAGTCGCAGGTGGGGCCCAGCATGGCTGTCACCCCTAGTGAGCTGGGGACACACAAACACACACGTGAGCAGAGTCGGGCAAGGACCGATCCATGAGGTATGAGGCCACTGGGGTCTGGGGGGGCAGGGACCCGGGTTCTCTCGGCCTGAACAAAGCGGCTCGCAGACCCACAGTGACTAGGGCCAAAGCCAAGGGCCAGAGGCCTAAGGGGGTAGGGGGATGGGCCCGTGCCTGGAGGACCAGGAGGGCAGCAGTAGACAGGGGGCACCCACGGATCCACGTCAGCAGCGTCCCCCAGCTTGAAGTGGCAGCCTGGGGCTCTGCACGGGGACCCGGGGGACCAGCAGCCCTCAGGAGATCGGACGGCTGGGGCCCAGCTGCCATCATCACCGCTGGGCACCCTGGATGGGACCAGAACGCCCTTTGCCTGGAAGCCCGTGCCTGCTCTGGGCCTGCTCCCACCCCAGGCCCTACGGGGCGAGACACCCACTCTAGGAATGAGGGACATGGGCCTGTTCTTCGCCTCCGTCTTTCCCTCTGCCGCCTGCTAAGGGGCTGTGTCCACCGGGCCTGGAGTGGAGCAGGGCGGACAACCAGCCCTAACCCTCACCACTACCTGCTCATGCCCCAAGATGCTGTCCCGTCCCACAGAGGGAGGCTGAGCCGGCCAGGGGGCCGAGCAGGCGGCGGTCACACGGGCCAGCTAGACTCAGTACCTGCCTGCTGGGAGGGCGAGCTAACCCCCGACCTGAGGTGGCCTGCGAGGTTCCCTAGGATTGGGAGGAGGTGGGCTTTCCCCGAGACGGCAGGAGCCCAGGAGACGGGGCCTGTGTCAGCGGGGTGCACGGCTCTGCCTCCCTTCACGTTTCTCGTTAGGGTGCGGCTGTCCGTGCCGGCACAGGGACTCCGGATGGCCGGAGTGACTAAGGACACACTGCAGGCCGTGGAGCGGGGGCGGGGGGGACGTGGCCCTCCAACAGCCACACGTTGCTGGGACGCCCAGCCCCCACCTCTGTAGCCCCGGGCCCCTGCAAGGGAGATGGTGTGGAAGAGGGTCCTGGAGAGAGGAAGCAATGCCCAGGCCCAGGGGCTGAATCCGGAAGCCCCCCCCCCGCCCCTGGATGGGGTGGGGGCTGCTGCAAGAGCCCGTGCCCATGAGGGGACGGGAGGGACCAGGTCACCGCAGACCCTGCCTCTGTAGAAAAGATTCTGCCATTGCAGCACGACTGACAGCAGCCGCACTCCCGAGGTAAAGGATGCGCGGGGCTGTGTGCCAATAAAGCTTTATTTATGAACACGGGCAGTGGGCCACGTGGCTGTGGCTCGTTGGCCTCTGCCTAGACTTCCCAGGGCAGCGGTTGTCACACTTGGGTGTGCAGCACGTCACCAGCAGGACTGAGCCCCGGGCCCAGCCTAGCATACCGGGTTCAGGAGGGCGGGGGTGGGCCGGGACTCCGCGTTTCTAACAAGTTCTCAGGGAACAGAATGAGAACCGCTCGACTAGGGAACGGGCTTAATGGAAGAACCCTGGGCTCTTGTGTCCAGCCCTGCGCCTGAGTTTTGGCTTGCCCTCCTATGAGCCATGAGATCCTGGCAAAGTCACCTCTCTGGGCCTCAGTTTTCCGGTCTGTGCAGTGGGAACGGGAATCTATCTCACAGGATCCTGAAATTACTGCCCGAGGTGCAGGGACGCCTGCGGGTAGGGGTCGGCACACAGCTGGGGCAGGCACCCCGCCACCCTTCTCTCCAGAGATGCCGGGATGGACGGGCCCTTGGAGGGCAGGAGTGGGTGCTGGTGATGGGCTGGGTCCCCGGCCAGCACCGAGCCCCACGGTCCCAGCGGAGAGAGGACGGTGGTGCGGGTGGTGGTCCCTCCCCGACTCAGGCACTCAAAAGCTGGCCTGAGAGGCAGCGGGATGGGCCAGGCCCCGGATCTGGAGAACTTGGGGGCCACAGGCTGGACGGGGGCCTCGACCCTCATCCTCGGACCCCACCAGAGAGACGCCAGCGGGGCGGCAAGTGCTGTTTCAGAAGGGCCGGCCAGGCGGCTTTTCTGGACACACTGAGGGGCCGGGAAGGCCCTGGGCCCTGATCCCACACAGCAAGGCCGCTGAGTCGTCCAGGGCACAACTCTGCACAGCCTGATCGGGGTGGGTGCGGGGGGACGGGGAGGACGCGGGGCCCAGGTGTGGGGGTGCGCTGGGTGGGAATGCCCTGCAGGGCCCCACTGGCCGTCCAGCAGTGGGACAGGGAGATGTGGGGCGTCCGCCTTGGAGCCCGGGGCACCGATGGTTCACGTCTGGCAATTTTTCCCATCCCTTGCCTCTCCCCTAGGTCTGGGGAGCGGGCAGCTGGCCAAGAACCAGAAGTCCAGCCCAATGCTGCCCCCTACTGGCAGTAATCATTCAGGTCCACCGACTGGATGGAGGCTGGGCAGCCGGCAGCGGTGGCGGGGGTGGGGGGTGGCCAGCACAAGAAAGTACAAGGGTTTGTGGCTGGGTGGTCCTGAGAACTTAGACACGGGACACGGGACCTGGGTGGGAAGATACCCACACACGACCAGCCCGCCAATCATCAAGGAAAGTGTGGCCGATAGTGTCCGCTGGGCCCGGAGCCAGTACAGAGGTGTGTGGGGACGGGGTGCATCCCGGGGGCTGCCCACCCATCAGCGGGGGCCTTGGGTGAGGGCCCAGTGCCCACAGCCCAGCCAGAGAGGGGTCTCTGGGCTCGTCCCCCCGCCCTGGCCAGCACCAGAGCCAGCAGGCCCTGACCCAGGTCCGGGGGCTTCTCACGGTGGGGTCAGGACTGTGTCACCACCCCCCGCCGCCAGCCCAGCTGCACCCAGACCGCTGCGCACCCCTGCGCACGGGCTGTGCACAGCCAGCAGCTCGTGGCTCGGCCAGGGCGTGTGGAGGGTGCAGGCTCACCTCCCGATGAAGGGGCGGAGGGCCCGGAAGGAGTCCGTGTTTCTCGCCAGCCTGTTGCCCGGCTCCAAACATCCATCCTCCGTGAGACCTTGGGGGACACGGATACCAGGCTCATTCCCCAGAAGGAGGAGCTGCCGGCGGTTGGGGACCGAGCGGGGACACCCCTGGCCCGTGTCAGGAGGGGCCCGGTGGGCCGTGTGTGCTTTCTTGCCCCTCTCTGGAGGCGGGGGGGGGGGGGGGGGGGCCCACACAAGCCTCAGGGCCAGGCCTCACCCCTCCACCCGCCAGGACCAAGCCATGGACAAGGCCACAGCCGGTGGAACTTGAGCCTGTGGCCGGGCTCCGCCAGGACGGCCCCTACGTCCCTTCGAGCGGCCTACACACCCGCCGTGGTATCGTCATCGGCCTCTTCCCTTGAGGGAGAGAGTGGGGCCACTGCTGGGGCTGGTGGCCACCTACCTCGGGGCTGGCTGTCGCGGGGGGCCCCCGGGCTCACGCTGTGCCGCCGCTCCCAGTCAGGGCTCCAGGACGGTGTCCTGCCGTCCGGGAAGCAGGTGGGTGAGGCCGGCGGCCTGGCCTGAGTGTCCGCCCAGTCCCAGGGTGTCCCTCCGCCCCGACGGGGCACTAACGCTCCGGAGTGGACGGGGGCTGTGGGCGTGGGGGCCGCAGCCATTCTGCTGAGGTATGAGGGCGACGGGTCGGAGACCGGGTCCCCGGGAGGGTCCAGTGCCTCCGACTTGTGCAGCTTGGCCGTCAGGATGTCGATCCGTTGCTTCAGGATGTTGGCCATGGTCTCCAGAGCCTGTAGCCGGGCCTGCTTGTAGCGGAAGTGCAGGGGCCCCGATGTGCCCAGGCGCTCGCTCTCCTCAGGGTCTAGGTAGATGCACACCCCTGGACGCGGGCCCTGGGTGGCGAGGTCCTGGAGCTTCAGGGGACCCAGGGAGGAGCGGGCGGACATCAGCGTGGGGCCGCCTGTCCCCAGCGTCTCAGTGCGGTTCGGGGCTCTGTTCAGACACAGGCAGAAGCTGCAGGGAGAGAGGGTGGAGAGGGTCAGGTCTGGCGCCTGCGGCCTCAGCAGAGAGTTCAAAACGTGTAGGAGGCGGGATGAGCGTCTGTGACGATGGCGTCCCTTCACGGTGACAGTTTATGGCCCGGAGGGCTGGCTCCGGGGCGCGTCTATACAGCAAGGGACCACACCAGGCCGTGAGGGAGACCCAGCAGTGATTTCTGGAGTTTAACACCAGAGCAGAGGCACCAAAAGAAAAAACAGATCAAAGTCCTTCAAAACGTATGACTCATGTGCACCGAGGGCGCGATCGTGAGTGAGAAGGTGACCTACAGAATGGGACGAAGTTATTACAGCCCACACGTCCCATGAGGGTCGGAACCCAGAGCATATAAGGGACACGTGCCATCCAACAGCTACAGCGCACCAAGAATTTGAGGGGATGTTTCTCCAAAGAGCCAATAAACACACGAAAAAGAGGCCGAACATCGCGGGTGATCAGGGAGACGCAAATCCAGATCGCAGTAAGATACCCCTTCACAGCAGTCAGGGTGCCTACGACTTAACAATAAATAAAAGGGACACCTGGGTGGTTCGGTCGGGCGAGCGTCCGATTCTTGATTTCGGCTCAGGTCATGATCCCAGGGTCGTGGGATCGAGCCCCACACCAGACTCTACGTTAAGCGCGGAGCCTGCCTGAGATTCTCCCTCTCCCTCTCTCTCTGCCCCTCTCCCCCACTCGCTCCCTCTCTCTCTCTCTCTCTTTCTCTCTCTCAAAAAAAAATTAACTAAATAAAAATAAATGAATTAAAATTAAAAATAACCAGTGTTGACAGGTGGGAAGGTGGACACGTTCTGGGGACAGACGGAGGGGACGGCTGCATGACAGCGTGAATGTGCTTAAGACAGTAAATCTACATTGTGTGTATTTCCCCACAACTTCTTTAAAACGTGGAGGGGAAAAAGAACACAAGAAAGCAAGACGAAGGGCCCACACTCCCGCTGTCCGGGGGACCGACCCGCGGGCATCACGTCAAGGCGGCCAGGAGCCCTCGGCCGGCCTTTCCGCAGAGGACGGGGGCTGCCCTGGGCAGTGGCTGGTCTCTCCGTCGGGATGCAGGTGCGGAGTGTGTGAACGTCACTGAGCTGCACAACCTGGGACCCGCATCTTCTTCAGGATGTTCCCAGACGTCAAGTTTAAGAAGCTGAAAGCCGCGCAGCCTCCTGGGCTGCTCTGTGGACCTGTAACCCCCGGGAGTGCCCCAAGCAAAGTGGGGCACGGTCTCCTGACCCCGAGCTTTAAGGTGCCGCCCCGGGGAGGGGCTTTGTGAACAGGTGCCCGGCTCCATTAAAATACGCAATAGTGAAAACCAAACAAAAACAGGAAGGGAGAAACACAGAAAAGCAGTTGGCGGGACACAGAGAAACTGGGACCCTCCTCCGTCGCTGGTGGGGATACAAAACGAGGCAGCCGGTGTGGGAAGCCAGCTGGCGGTTTCTCGAAAAGTTAAACACCGAGTTTTCAAATAAAGTTGCCTGGCAATTCCACTCCCAGGTGTCTAACAAGGGACACGAAATAGGCATTCAGTGAATTCATCCACAGCGGCACTACCCACCGCCCCCTGGGGCGCGGGGGGGGGGGAAACAGTCCAAACGTCCACGGAGACCAACGGATAAACCATCTGTGGCCGTCAGGCCACGGAACGGGGTTTGGCCATAACGACAGAACGAAACCCTAATGCGCGCGACAACACCGATGCGCCCAGAAAACACGCTCCAAGAGAGAAGCGGCCTCCCAGCGGCCACGCCCTGCCAGACTCCAGTGACGTGAATCTGTAGAGGGGGGAGCAGACTGGGGCGGCCGCGGGGAGGCACTGGAGCCATGCCGACGGGTACGGGGTTCCCTTTCGGGGTGAGGCGATGTTGTGTGTGCAGAGAGAGGTGGTGGTCACACGACACTGGGGGGGTGCCCAATGCCCCCCCCCCCCGCCATCGTGTGCCCTCAATGGCTCACTTAAGGGGCTGTGGAACCCGGGACAGCCCTGTTCACCAGCTCTGGGCAGAGGAAGCCGCCACAGCCTGGAGGAGCGCCCCCCCCCCAGGAACTGTAGCCCCCACCTGCCTACCCACCTGCCCGGGGCCTCCTGGTCCCCCAGCACCATGCCGGAGGTCACCTTGCTCCACTCCATCACAGGCGACCCCAGGCTCCCAGAGGCTTCCAGGCCCTAAAGCAGAGGAGAACACGGTCAGAGCCCGCCTCGGACAAAAGACCATCATGAGACCTTGTCCCTTAGTCCCAGAGCTAAGGGTCTCAGGCTGGAGCCCTCAGGGGGCCCCCTCTCTAGGGGCTGGGGCAGAGGCAGTGGGGTCCCTCCAGAGCCCCACCATACCCAGGGAGGCAGGCACTTGGGGACGTCAGAAACTCAGCACCGCGCCCTCACCGGCACGCTGTGCGTACCTTGGACTGTGCACAATGCGGAAAAAAGGTCACGATGCCGGGGGTCGTGCGGGACACCACAGGGACGGCTTTGCCGAGGACGGCCTCCCTCTGCTTCCTGTACACATCCTGCAGCCTCTGGTTTTTCAGCTCGAGCGCCCGCAGGGCCGAGGCCTTCTCCTCCAGGGCCTGTCGCCTCCGGGCCAGCGTCCTCTGGCGCATGAACTCCCGCAGGGACTCAGAGCTGTAGGGGTGACCCAGGACCCCCCGGGGCTTCGGGCAGGGTGGCGGCACCCTCACCTCGTTCTCCTTCCCAGGGGCGTTCCTGGGGGCCCCGGGGGCCGGCCTCATCCAGGCTCGCTTTGGCTCTGAGGGAGGCGGGAGCGAGCCTCGGCCCCTGCATGGGGTGCCCTTGCTGCGCGGGAAGGAGGCGCTCCATGGCCGCTGGGCCGCTGGGCTCCACAGGCTTTGGGCAGAGCTCTCCCAGTCTTCATGAGCAGCCCAGGTCCTCTGGGGCTGGGAGGGCTGCCCGGCCGAGGCGCTCCAGGGCCGCTGAGGGAAGGAGGTCAGCCTTTCAGGGGGGCTCCCAGGCCTCTGGAAGGAGGGGTTCCGTCCTTGGGCCGCCCAGGGCATCTGGGGACAGGACTCCCACCCAGCCAAGGTGCTCCAGCGATGCCCCGTGGGGAAGCTGCCAGCCCTCTCTAAGGCCCGAGGACTCTCCGAGAAGGAGCCCCGAACATCTGGGGTGCTCCAGGGGCCCTGCTGCCTCCTCTCTGCCAGGCTCTGCAGCCACAACTTTGACCGCCCCAGCTCTGGCCCTCCCCTGGGGCGGTGGCTCCGGGCCAACTCCAGCCCGGCCTGGATTTGCTGGCGGAGGTCTCTAAGGACAGCCATGGCATTCTGGATGGTCACAGGCTGCTCGCAGGAGGACAGGTTGGGCGTATTGGCGGACACCTGCAGGCCGCCGCGGACAGAGGCTGGACTGGGCATCCGGGGACGGGCAGGGGAGCTCTTAGCAGCTCCAACTTTCTTGCTGTCTCCTGCAAACACAGGTGGTCACGGGTGTCAGGGGCTGCAGAGCCAGCTCCCCTCCCTCCCCCCCAGAAGCACCCTTGGCCCTGCTCCCAGCCCCTCCTGGCCCCTGCACACAGCATGGGTTTGCAGAAGCCCTCCAGGTGCACATGCCACATCCTGGTGACTCGAGGCTGTGCCCGGGCACGTTCACCCCAGACACAGTGAACACAGCGTGATGGGGGTGACGTGTGCCTGCCGGAGGAGCCCCTGCCCCTCCCACCCTGCCTTCCCTCAGTCGGGAAAGCCTAGCCTCCTGGGAGCCTGAAAGGTGTCTCTCAGGGACAGAAATCCTTTCCTTAGGCTTTCAAACGTAATGGTTTCCCCTAAGTCCTGTCTGATGGCAGGTTTGGAGGGCATCCGACAGGCCGCTGGGGAGAGGCCTGCTCCTGGACCTGATGTCCCTCCTTCGCCCTCTGCGCCCACCGCCCAGAGGCTACAGCGCGGCAGGAGGAGCCAGAGGCGAGGCACCAGGTACCTAATTCCGCGGCAGGGGCCTGGTCTCTCGAGGGAGCCTCCCTCTGGAGCCTGGGGAGGGCCGGAGGGGGCCCAAGCAGGGCCCTCGCCAGGGCTGGTCCTTTCCTCCAGGCGTAAACACCGACCAACTCAGAATCTTAAACAGAGAAAACACACACACAGCCGAGCAGCCGGGGCCTTCCCAGTGCCGGCCCAGACGGGGAGGTTGCTGGCCCTGGGCAGTCCCCTGGGACCAATTCACACGCCCCCCAGAGGAGCTGGGGTGAGCCTCAGCCACCAGGCAGCAAGAGGCAGGGCTGAGTCCCAGGATGACTTTGGACGGTGACCTGACTTCTCTGACCCTCGGTTAACGGGACAATAAAAGCTACTCCCCGCGGGAGCAACACAGGCCCAGGTGCGCGGCACGTGCTCAGTAAACACCGGCCCGTAGTGACAAGGACGGTAATAACGAAGAGCCATCAGCACAGGCAGGGCCAGTGGGAGGCTACGGCCACAGTTGACCACTCGCACCGGGCTGCAGCAAATTATTTGCTTTTAAGCCGGTGTGGCTCCGCAGCAAAGGGGCTGGGCACCAACAAGGATACCCAGGCCAGCACGACGAGGGGTCCCGGAGAGCACGGACAAACACCCACCGCGTCCCAAACGCAAACGAGGTTTTGTTAACAAATGTTGTGACCTGAGGAACGTCATTTATCAAAGTTCTTCATAATCCCGGAATACGCTCACCAAATGCCAATGCCAGCCCCACCATCGTTACAAACCCATCCACAAGGGCCGTGGCGGAGGCCGGTTTTTGCCAAGCAAGGGTGACTTAGAGCAGAGACCATCAGGAGAGGTGACCCCCGGGGCAGGCAACCAACAGGGTCAGGCCCCTCCCCAACACACGCTTAAGGATCCCTGGCCCAAGGCCCAGACCCAGAGAGAGAGGCAAGCCTGAACCGGCGGCTGCAGGAAGGGGAAAGGGCCACGCCAAGCCACGCCCTCCCTAGGCCACGCCCCGAAAGCTTGCCTTCTGTAAAGCCACGCCCCTTCAGGACCCGAAGCCAAGGCCACGCCTTCCACAAACCACACCCCTCCGGGAAGGGCCCCTGAGGCCACGCCCCCCACGCCAGGGCCCGGGAACACCGGAAGTTAAAGCGTGGTCTGGGGAATCCCAGACCGGGTTTAAATTCTGGCTCTGCTGATTCCTAGCTATGGGCTTCGGGCGAGTGACTCTCCTCGGTTTCCCCACAAGACCACAGGCATGAAACGGGGTGGGCCAGGAAGGGACAGGGTTCCGCTGGCAGAGACAAAGGCCAGGGCTGAGGCCGGCACTGCCCAGCTGGCCGCACCTGGGTGTTGGATGGTACCGAGGGAGGGCGGGGGGGGGGCTCCCCAGCAAGGCTCCTGCGTCCTGGCCCCTGTCGCTGCTGACCTGCACAAAGTCATCGCTCCTCCCTGCCACCGTGCAGGCCCTGCTCTGGACGAGGGGGCTGCCCGCTGGCCGGGACCCTCCCCACAGGCCCCTCCATCACTGGCCGCTCATCCCCCATTAGCCCGCCAGAGGGGTCCGGGTCAATAAATGGGTCCTGATGGGCACATTTTTTCTTCCGCCGAGCAGTTTAATGGCAATTAATTTTTTTACGAGAGGATTTTTAATCTGTGGAAATGGATGAAGTCCCCAAGTGCCCTGTCAAAGTTCCAGGGCCGGCTTAATCTATGATAAAAAATGCAAAGTGAGGCGGTAGAATCTGAAATTAAATACAGGGCTTCATTTTCCTTCAGCCCGGATGGATGAATATTTTATAACTATTGTGATTTAATTTTTTGTTAACTACAGCAAATTTCTAATTCATCCAATTCCCGAGTCCCGCGGCTCTGACCTCTGAACCCAAGCTCATCTCTCCTTAGCCCAGCTGTGACTTGGTCACTGACAGAAACTAATGGTCAGCTCCGTCAGGGTGACACGGTGGTTACGATGATGGATGCGGCCAGTGGCATGCCCTTTGACCCAGTGTCAGCCAGAAAGCAGGTCATTTTTCAAGCGAGCCATTAAAATAAAACAAACCAAAAAGCTGAGGGGGGGGGGAGACAACGATGCAGAAAACTATTGTATTTTGTGCCTTTTCAGTGAGCCTTCCGGAACCTTCTCTGTGGCTCCCAGCATCCCTCACTGTCAGGTTCGAGTGGAGGTTTTCCCTGCTGTCTGGTCACCTCTTACCCTGCTGAATAGACGTGTCTGCCCCCATGGCTGCCCGCCTCCCTCGAGGGTCCCTGAAGCCAATGGCGGAGGAGGGACGTGTTCATTCGTCCGGCGGCAACCCGCGCTCTCCCAGAGTGGAGGCGGCAGGTCTGATGGCAGGGAGCAGAAAGATGGCCAGAGCACCCGCCCCTGGCTCTCTCAGGTGAGGGGCACAGGCCTGGAGCCAGCACACCAGTGCAGCCCTGGGCAGGCTGTTGAAGCTCGCCGAGCCTCAGTGTCCCCACCTACAGAACGGGAGCAAGCCCGTCTACCCCAGGGGAGTGCTGTGGGGGTCCCTGAGCGGATGTCCGGAGAGCGCGAGGCACACGGAGCCAGCGCCGACCGTCGGGAACAGCCAAGCCCCAGGGGAACACCGCCTCCCTCGTCCCACACACACCAAAGTGGCCCTTCTGGGCCTTGCAGATCCATCACGAGGGCAGGGTCACAAACCGACCCAGCTGCCCAGGCTGGATGTCAACACCCCAAACCCCGACCTCTGGGGGCCCCGGGGTGTGACCTCAGGCCTGCCACCATCACCAGCTTTTCCTCGGACTCTCCTGGGATGTGATCGTCCGAAGCGCATCCCTGCCTGATGGCCCCAAGTCCCCAAAGGGCCGGGAGACAGTGGGCGCTATCTAAGGCCTTTCCCATCACCGAGTGCTCTGGGGGAAGGCAGGTGTTCCGGGCTTGCTGTCTGGATTCCAATCCCAGGCCAGGTGCCTAGGGAGACCTCTCCCTCCAGCAGCCCCCGCCGCTCACGAGTGATGCCTCGGAGCACAGACTGTGAATGCACGTTCAGTCGCGGAGAGCGGCTCCGTGTCCCTACAGACTCTCTTGGTCTAGGGGTGCTGGAAGGACAGCCCACGGCACGGGGGGGTTGTGGACTCGCGCTTCCTCACGGCGGATGACCCCTGTGCCGGCGGGGACCACGCGGCGCCCCGGTGACGCCCAGGCAGGGTCTACACTCACCCGAGAGGCGGACGCCAGTGCCGCCCCTCCTTCACGCGTGGCAGACCCTCCACTCGAGCTCGGCCCCTGCCCGTCCCAGGCCCCCGTGCACGCAGCGCCCCAGGCCCCCGGGGCGCCCGTCCATCCGCAGCACCGGAACCAGAAGCCGCGTGCCCACCTAGTGAGCCGGGTCACAGACTTTTACCCCAGGCCTTGCCGGGGCCCCAAACGGGCAAACCTTACCTGTGTCTCTGGCATCTCTTCTAGAGGTGGGCGACTGGGGGGCTCTCTCCCTTGTGCAAGGACGGCTTTTCATTCTTTTGGTTTTCTCCCGTGGAGCTTCAGGGAGAAGAGAGGAGGAGGGAAGGCGGGGAGGGTGAGCAGTGACGGCCACACGGCCGGCCACGCTGGCGGCCCCCTGCCCCTACAGAGCCGCGCGCCCGTCCTGCCTGCTCCCGGGGACTGTGCCGGCGCGGGCAGCTGAGTGCAGGGCCAGAGGGGCACACGTGGCCGTCCGCCTCTTGGTGGTCTGCACAGACCCCCCCTTCACGCCCCGACTGGTCACGAATGCCCAGGTGCCCGGGGCCGCGAGCCACCGAGGACAGGAACGGCCTCCCGTCTGAGTTGCCCGCGACCATCTCGGTCTGCCGTGTGGCCCTCGTGTTTGTTGACTGAATAGACGGCCGAGTGGGCCGCCGCGGAGAGGCGGCCCAGCAGGGGGACGTGGGGGGAGGGGCTCCGCGTGGTGGGGTCCACCCTGGCGGGACGTGTGAAGACACGGAGACCGCGGTGGGTAGAGGTTGTCCAAGTCCCCGGGCAAGCACAGCGGCCAGCAGGAGTGGGCCAGCTTCCTGAGGGCCAGTGGGGCCCCTCTCCCCGTGCTGTCTGGCCTCGCTCGTCCCTGTTCACCGCTGGGGCGGGGGCCGTGTCCGGGAAGCACCGAGAAGCCAATCAGCCAGCGATGTGTGAGCAGGACCGGGGGTGCTCGGGGAAAGGCTGGCCCGAAGGACTCTCCAGGCCTCCAGGCCTTGGCCGGTCCCTCTGTCCTCGGTGCCCGCAACCCACTGGCAGGAGGGACCTCCAGCACCCAGGCCTGTACAAAAGCACAATTCTACAGGATCCACTCACAGGAGGCCCTGGAGGAGTCGGAGCCACGGACACGGAGAGCGGGAGGGTGGGGCTGGGGGAGGGGAGGGTCCACGTGGAACGGGACCGAGTCCAGTCTGGGAAGACGAACACGTTCTGGGGACGGATGGGGGGGGACGGCTACACGACAGTGTGAGTGCGCCTGATGCCCCCGAACTGCGTCCTTAAAAGTGGTTACGACAGGGGCGCCTGGGTGGCACAGTCGGTTAAGCGTCCGACTTCAGCCAGGTCACGATCTCACGGTCCGTGAGTTCGAGCCCCGCGTCGGGCTCTGGGCTGATGGCTCAGAGCCTGGAGCCTGTTTCCGATTCTGTGTCTCCCTCTCTCTCTCTGCCCCTCCCCTGTTCATGCTCTGTCTCTCTCTGTCCCAAAAATAAATAAACGTTGAAAAAAAAATTTTTTTAAAAAAAAGTGGTTACGACAGTAAATCTTGTGTGTATCTCACCACAATTAAAAAAGAAAAAAGGAAAAGACCTCGGCCCTGCCCCACACCTACTTCTGGAGGGTTCTAAAGCTGGGAGAGGGAGACGTGACTATCAAGGACTGGTAACCGATGACACCAGGTGCTGAGTGACCAATGGCCAAGTCCCGTCCTTGCCTGAGGGGCCCCAGTGGCCTCTGTGGGATGGGAGCGGACGGGAGAGCTGGGGCCGTAGGGGTCCCGTGGGTGGAGGAGGGAAAAGGCAGGGTGATCGCTGTGAGCCACGGCCCGCCTGGGCGTCCGGCTACGGGGAGTTGTCGCAGCCCCCGGCCACGTTAGCCAGAGCTGGGCCCGGCCCCCTTGGCTTTGATCAGCAGGCACCTTGGACCCCACCGGCATCTGTACTCGGCTCACACATCCAGCTGGGGCAGGACACACACCCAAAAATGCCCCTGTGACAGCTGCCCCGGGGGTCCCAAATCCCATGCTGACCAACCTCTTGCCCACCCTCGGTGCCACTATTGCCCCGTGGAAAACCCATCCTGTTCCCCTGCACCGAGGACCCCAGAAGCCTCGGGCGTCCCAGGGCAGCCTGATTTCTGCTCCCGAGGCCCTCCCCCTCCCCCACTCCAGGCCCCACCCCCCAAATCTTGCTGGAGTGAGGTTGTCTCTGCACGTGAGGGACGCCCTCCTCCGCCTCGCCATCTGCAAACGGTGCCAGCCTGCACTCCTTCCCCGAGGGGGGCACCGAGGTTCAGAAGTCCTACCCCCACGGAATGGCGGGCTGGGTCCAGACCCCTGCTCGGCCCTTTCATAAAGGGCTGGGACCCTCTCTAGTGTCCCCGTCTGAGTGTGATCAAATAGAGCCAATCGCCTAGGGAGAGAGAAGCTGTATGGTCCAGAACCGTGTGGCCCCGACCGCCGCCTGGGTGTCCAAACGGGCTCACCTGAGGCCTGGCGCTGGGGGACCCTGGAGGGCTCTCGCCCCCGGCCCGGGATGGCCTTGTCTTCCGCTCCACACGGAGCCTCTCTCGGGGTGCCTAAGCCTGGAGAAGATGAGAGGGAGCATCGTGAGACAGGTTCCGCAAAGTTCCAGGAAAAGGTCCCCATCCGGCAGCCGCTCAAAAGGCTTCAAACGCAGCACCTTTGATGGTGGCCCCAGGCCCAAGTACGTCCCACGGGGCCGGATCGGGGTGCGCCAGCCTTCCGGCCTTCCTGCGGGGATCTGGCTTGGAGACTCTGCAGAGGCGCGAGGCGCTGGAGGGCGTCGAGGTGCCCAGAGAGGCACAGCTGGCCTGCCACTGTGCCTGGGCCCGGATCTTGTCCCTAAGCCGTTCCAGTCGTGGGTTGCTCTCTCTCAGCTGCCGCCGGGGCCCCTGCACCTGGGGGGGCCGCTCCTTCCAGGGCCCGGGGAGAGATGTGCAGGACTCGTGGCCCCCGGAGGAGCCGGAAAGGCGGCCTGATGACACCGAGCTGCCCCCATCCCTGGCCTCCTCGCTTTCGGACCACCCCAGGAGGCTGCAGGCCTTCCTCTGGGGGCCTGGCTGCTCGGTGTAGTCGGACCAGGCCACGTGGGGAGCTCCCCGCAGGTCACCTGGCTGCCGGGAGGGCCTGGCCCACCTCAGGGCAGCCATGGCATCATCATCAGCCGCAGATAGACGGAGCCCGGAGTCCCTGGGGAGAGAGAAGCAGACTGGCCGGTCAGGAGTGGGGACCCGGCCATGCCAAGCAGAAGAACATCTCACATGGCACAACCCGCACCCCCCCAAGCCCAGCACCCCTCCTGCTCCCTCGTTCTCCTGTCTCAGAAGGCCCACCGCCAAGGAAGGTGCAGGGGACCAGTGAAACGCCCCATGCACGGCACCACTGTGACGTCCCCTCGGACGGCCACCTGGAGCCTTTGAGGCAGGCACCACGATCGGTCCAATTTGCAGATGGGGAAACTGAGGCTCTGGAGAAGGCATGCAGCAGAGGCCCCCAAGTCCTCTGTCCTCATGCTGACCGGGCCGCCCTCCTGGGAAAGGAAGCCCCCGCCTGGCCCAGGGGGCGGGCACAGACACTACCTGGGCTTGGCTCTAGCCTTCCTGGCGGCTGGCCTGCCCCGGGCCTCGAGGTGGTCTTTGGGGTGGGACTGGGTCGTGTCTCCTAGGAGGACCGACGGCATTCCCGGGACCGAGATCGACATAGCCCCAGGGCCGGGCCGAGGGCGGGATCTGGTGAGCCCCCTGGTCACCGCCTGCCCTGAGGTCACAGATGGGGCCTTCACAGGGCAGCCTGCTGGCCTGAGGCCCGACATCCATCCCTGCGTGGGCTGGGCCGGCTGGCCTTCTCCAGTCCCCTGGCCCACGATGGAGACCCTCAGGATACTTGTGGAAACTGGGCAGACATGGTGGGCTGCCGGGCCCTGGGCTGGAATGGCGGGGGGCGGGGGGCTTTCTAACGAGCTGCCTCTTAGCAGGGTGGGAGAGAATTCTGGGTGGCCCGTGACAGCATAATAACCCCACGTCACTCAGCGACAGGGCCGAGGCCTTCAGCTCCTGCTGGGGCGATGGGCGGGGCCCCACCCCCTTCCTCCCAGGGCACCGGAGCCAGTGGCTGCGCGGGTGGTGAGTGTACTGGCCGGGGCTGCGGTCGGGCTGGGCCAGAGTGGGGGCACAGGGAGGGGCTGGGGGCAGAGTGGGGTGGCCTCCGGGCTGATGCCGGGCTCAGGCTTCGATTCTGGGCAGGGTCAGCCTGGAAGACCCGGGGCGGGAGAGAAGAGCCGGCCCAGGACGTGTCCCCAGCGGCTGGACGAGAGGCTGTGTGCTCGGGCCCCGACGCCAACTCGGAAACACTGCCGAGGTCCCTGCCTTCGGCCTCTCGGGATTGGTCACGGGAAGTGGGCGCTGGCTTCTCGGCTTGCCCTGCCACAGGTTCGGGACACCCTTTTGCCCACAGGAGCAGCAGCTGAAGACGCCTGAGCCCCGGGAGCCCCGGGCCTGCTTCCTGGGCCCTGCACTCCCAGGGCTGCACCCCAGCCTGGCCCACCTGCAGTGGGCGTCCTGTCACCTCGACGACTCTGCAGTCAGCTGGCTCTGAGCTGGGCATGGTCCCCCGGAGCAGAGCTTCTTCAAATCCCCGCTGCGCCCCCAGCCGGCTGAGTAACCTCGGGCAACCAGAGACCCCACCCTGTCCCTGCCCCCCTCCGGGTATTGTGAGCAGCTGGTGAGTTCACTCCAGCAGGGGGCGCTGAGTGGGGCAGCCGGGTGGCTGAGCGGGTTACAAAGACTTCGTTTTCAGGACGCCCGGAGGAAGCAAAAGGCAGAATGGAGGGCCTCCTGCCTGTCCGGGGGAAGCAGAGATGCCTGGAGGCGGCTGCAGAGGGGCAGGGCGGCAGGGCACAGGGCGAGGTCCTGAGCCCAGCAGGGCCCTGTCGCGGTGGACATGGCCCCCCCCACCTCGTCCCGCCAGCAGGGTGAGAGGACCCACCCCAGGGACGGGACCGTCCCTTCTCTCCCATCTGGCTTCTCCTGAGGTCGGGACGAGGCGCAGAAGGAGCGCCTCTCAGGGCACAGAGCCCGCGGGACCCCAGATCCAGCCTTTGGCCCTGGGGCCCTTGACCACACCTGGCGGCCTAGACCGAGGGCGTGCCTCCGCGTACCTGCGTGGCCAGGTCCCCCTGCCGGTGGCACCATAGCCACCCTCCCGCTCTGCCGCGTCCGCCTGGTGGGGAGTCCCGCCCCGCCTGGGCCTGCCTGCTCCCCGGTGAGGCCAGGCTACAGCGGGTCCCACCCTTGTGTTCCTTTACGATGTTTGCGAGGGGTCAGTGTCACAGAGGGCTGACCCGGGGTGGCACAGGGGAGCCTGGGGGGGGGGGGGCGTCCTTCCAGGACAGCTTCAGGGCACGAGCGTGTTCCTGGGACGTGCTGGGGTACACTGGGCCTGCGGGCAGCTTCTGCTAAAACTGGGGGTGGCGGGACTGGGAACACTGTGGCTTCCCCAGGGCGTGACCACGGTGTCCCCACCACCCTTACAGGCTGCACAACAGAGGAGACTCCCAGAGACAGCTCAGCAGAACCCCCCGCAGCCCTGCCAACGGACCCCACCGACACTGCGGCCGTGTCCCCTGCCAGGCGCTCAGGCCCTCATCACTCTCCCCCAGCGTCCCCCCAACTTTCTAGCCCTGATCCCTAAAGGGCAGAGGGAGGGGCTCTCTGAGCAGAAATAGGTCGTAAGCAGTTTCCCTCCGCAGGAAGCAGCTATTTCATAAATACGATGGTGCGGGAGGGGGGGGCGCCTGGGGGGCTCAGGGGGTTAAGTGTCCACCTCCTGTTTTCAGCTCAGGTCACGATCTCACAGTTTGTGGGTTCGAGCCCCACATCAGGCTCTGTGCTGACAGCGCTGAGCCTGCTTGGGATCCTCTCTCTCCCTCTCTCTCTCTTCCCCTCCCCTCCTCTGAAAATAAATACACATAAATACATACATACACACGATGAAGCAGTCTGCTTCAACGCCCTAGAGTTGATAAAAGCGAAATCATGAAACGAATGTGTGTGCACGTGAAAATAACCAGCTTCGTCGTTGCTCTGTGAGCGGTGACAAGCCCAGAACTTCCTCCCCGGCCCCCGACCTCCGCCCCCCTCCGTGGGTGCCGCACCTCTCCACAGATCTGGTTCACCACCAGGGCTTCTAGCCCGGCTCCAAATCAGGGGACGTGCGAGCCCCCAGGGCCTCTCCCTGCCCAGGACCCTCCGTGGACCCTGGCACGCACTGCCCCGGCTCCCTCACACCTGCTGGGGTGACCACAAGCGGCCGGGGCCATGAGCAGCAGCGTGGGCACCAGGTACCACAAGGCCACAGCAGAGACCACAGTCTTGGGGGGGGGGGGCACGCCCCACACGGATCAGGCCCCAGCCTCTCCCCTAACCCTGAGCCAAGATGCAGGCCCGGCTGGAGGTTGGCCCCCATTTGGGCCCCGAGGCTCCTTCTGTTGCCACATTCGCTCCCTCCCGACCACCCCTGCCTCCTCCCTGCTCACACCTACCAGTGCCACTCTCTCTGAGCGAGGTCCCCTCTGCCCTCCCCAAGGGGCTGGGGACCGCTCCGCGGGGGTGCAGGGGTGGCCTGTGTGCAAATGCTCGTGGCTGTGAGAGCCCCCAGTGTGGCGGGGCCCCGGGTGGAGCAGGTGTCCCGCTCCTTGCCGGGGCCGGGGGGCCCACCCACAGCACCCGCAGCCCACTGTCCACAGACCACGACACCACTCTGGGCCAGGCCCCTGCTTCCACAGCCTGGCCGGGCTGCAGGGGTGGGGTGGGCGGCAGCTCGGCTCTGTCGGCCACGCTGTTCACGTCTCCCCAGCTCATGCCCAGGGAACCCAGCCCAAAGCACCCTGAGCGGGCTCGGGGACAGAGTCGGTGGACCGTGAAGGAGAAAGGCCCAGGCGCCCACGGTCCCTGGGCCCCAGGGTTTCAGACCACATTGGTTTCACCAGCAGCAGCAGCCGGCCCCGCCTGGACTCGGGCATCGGGCCCTCCAGCCACCGGCTCAGACTGGTCCCGGCAGCGAACACACCTGAACTGGCCCTGTCCCCCGATTAGAGTCCCCCGGCGCACCAGGCCCTGCCCAGAAGCCACCAAGCAGGGGCCCAGAGAGGGTGGGGTGCAGGGCCTTAGAGGTCCAGACAGAAGCGCTCCGGCGGCTGACCTGGGCTCGGGGCACATCTGGGGAAGTGATATGCAGGCAACAAGAGCGTCAGCTGCACAGGCACCCCCCAGCCCCGTGACCCTGGACCCCGACACACAGTACGCGTGCTCGCTGCCCGGGGCTGCAGAGAAGGCAGGCCAGCCTGGGCTGCCAAAGACTTTCTTGTATGGGAGTCTGGCCAGGGCGGTGTCCCCCAGCCTCTCCATTCTCAGCCACGGCGTCTCTACCAGCCGCTCCCCAGAGGAGAGCACCAGGCCCCAGGGTGGCAGACGACAGGGCCGAACAAGGTAACACAAGGCCAAGGTTGGAGGTCCGGAGGGGGGAGCCAGTGGGAAAACGGGATGCAAAGGCCGGTGGGTGAGGCGGGGCATAGGGAAATTCCACACAGGGTCAAGGAGATAAAACCAAGGCGAGGCTGCCTCACCCCGCGACCTCTCCGACCTCCCTCTCGGCTGCACAGCCCAGAAGCCATTTAACCCACCCCCAGGGGACCCTGGCGCCACCGCCCACTCGCCAAGAGGGACTCACGGCCACACCCACAGACAGGTCAGCAGGGAGCTCCCCCCCCCCCCCCGCCCCCCACCCCCACCCTCAGGCCTGGGCGGCCTCGTCCAAGGCCAGAGTCAGCCCGGCCAGCACCCAGCGCTCAGTACAGCGGCTCCTGAGCCGGCTCCCCTGGGGGCACCCTGCCAGCGGCCGGGCCCTGCCCCCAGTGCGTTCCCCAGGCGACCTGGGGCACCTCCCCACAACCCAAGAGCAAGGCGTTGTCACCCTGCCCACAGTCACACAACACAGAGCGGAGACCTGTCCTCCGGGCCACCCCCCGCAAACAGGGAGGGAGCTGGAACACCAGCGAGCCCGGGGAAAGGAGCCCGTGGACACAGACACCCCCCAGGGAGCGAGAGCCACCCTCAAACGGCTCAGAATGGTCAACTGGGGACCATGCTTTTGGGGGGCATGGCTCTGGGTCTCCTGCCCGCTGACTCAACTCCTTGATGGGGGCCTTCCAGCAGGACAGGACGGCCTGAGGGGCCCCCTTTGCCCGAGGAGTTAGCTGGACAGGATCCAGGCTGAGCTGGCCTCGTTGTCAGCTGGGCTTGCCGGGTGGGACCAAATGCAGAACCGCCCGCCAGCCCCACTCAGGGGCTGGTGGCGTATTTATTCCTATTATACAGACGGGAGACTGAGGGACAGTTCATTAGGTAAGAGTCTAGTGCTGGCCTCACAGCAGCACCTGAAGCCAGAGGCAGGGCTGCCCAGTGGGTAGGGCGGGTGGGCATCACGCTCCCAGGGGCAGCCTGGCTTTGCCTCTCAGAGGGAGCCCCCACGCCGGAAGACCCCTCCCCAGGAAAGCAGGACGGAAGGAAGGTGGCTCCCAGCACCCAGCCACGTTCCAGGCCAGGAGGAAAGGCTAACGCCCTCCCCAACCTGCCTGTGCTCCCACCCGCGCCTCCCCCAAGTGCCCGGGGCAGGCCGGCTCGGCTCAGGCAGGGCCCCCCAGGGAACTCACCAGCTGTGGGAGGGCGCCAGGCAGCAGCCGTGGCTCAAAGGCCAGCCGCCGGCGGAGCCCAGGCACCGGGACACCGGCACCTCTGGGTGTGCGGGAGGTCCGCCCCGACGTTGCCGGAGAAACCCAAGCGTCCATCCAGGCAGGCTCCTCCTCCAGGCTGGCTTCCCGGAGCCCCGAGGGAAGAGCGCCAGGCGCCAGGAGCCTCACCGGCACATCCAGCCCCCACGGGCAGGGGACACACACCTGGGGCGCTCCTACTGGGCCCCAGGCAGTGGGGGCAGCGCGGGAGGCAGGTCTGCACCGGCAGGGAGGCGGGCATCTCCAGTGCGGTCCACAGCTGCCCCCTCTCGACCCTCCACCCCTGCTTTCTCCCCACCCCCCAGCGACCTCCAGCAGCCACCCGGGTCTCTGGAAGCACAGCCTGGCAGCCAGCAGCCAGGGAGCCGGAGGCCAATAGGGTCACCCCAGCCCTTCTGAAGCATGGTGTCGGGGGCGGGGGGGGGGGGGGGGGGCCCCTGGGAGGCTTGACTGCCCCCCCTAGAGAGCAGTTCTCAGGGCTTCCAGACAGTGGGAAGGTGCCGGTGGGTGGACATGGGGGGGTCTGGTTACCAAACGCAAAACCCACAAGGTCTCCCGCCTCCTTGGAGTCAGTGTGGCAGCCCAGGCAAAGAAGGGCAGGGGCTCTTGAGGGGTCCGGGCAGCGCCTGGTCCCGCGTGTGGGTTCCCGGGGTCTCGGTCTCTTGGCTAAGATCTGCACACTCACCCAAAGTCCATTTTCAACCCTAGGTCCTGGTCAGCGCGTGCTGCCCCCACCCCTGCCCAGCTCCAAACTCGCACCTGCAGGGGTCTGGGGAGCCTAGGAGTCC